TTAACTCATACATACTTAACAGGAACTTGTATATTTTATTCTTACCTGATGCTGTTCTGGTTCTTGTCTCTGGGCCTGAATATGCCGAAGAGCTACCAGAGCCTCCATGAAGTGGTGAATAGGCACGGCTAGTCCATGTGCTGGAGTAGGAGGGCGGACAGTCTGAGAAGGGTGTGGCTGCTCTGTTAAACATAAAAAGTATGTCAGGCATTTTTCTTGTGATTTTACTTGTTAAATACCTTCCTATTCCTAAACTAGCAGGAAAAAAAGTCTTTAAAAGTGTTTTTTTCCTCAAAGTTCTGGTATACTGGGATTAACATAAAACAAATATTATTTTATATTTCTGGTATTGTTATAGTCATTGCCAAGGGGGAAGAAAGTAATAGGGAGAAAAGGCTCTTTTTTCTGAATTAGCACTCAAATAAAATCTGAAGCTAAAATGCCAATAATACTGAAGACATTATAAAATCTGGCTCCAAGCTCTTTCCAGCCTTGCTTCTATCATTCTCCTACCAAACCGGATTGCTAATGGTCCCCAAATGTGTTCTTTCCCACCTCATCTTCTCAGATGTCAAGTATACAGTCTTTTTCTTACCTCATAATATGTTAGGATGACATAGGAAGAAGAAACAGAATGAAAGAAAATAATGTACAATATTGATCAAAGCACATACACTGTACCTTCCCCATCCCCAGAGAATGATTTAATAGGGTAATGTCAACATAATTTATTTTCCTTAACAAAGCCAAATCACCAAATCTAGTCAAATTATGAGCAAAACAAAGAAGCCTCTAAAGAAATGTTGAATTAAAAAGCAAATGAGATAAATGAAAGCCTACCTATTGCTGCCAAACAAATATCCTAATAGTCCTCCAGTTCCCAAGCCAGTCCAGAACCCTGGTCCTGAATTTTCATATCCTTGTTGTCCTGTGAAAGCACTGCCAAAACCAGAAGTTGCACCATGTGGTCCTAGAAATAAAAAGGATTTATAAGGTATCCTCACTTAAACAAAACATAGCCTACAAAACCAAAGATAACCTTGCAGTGATTTCATTTATACTGTTTATTAATAATACTCAAGACCAAACTTATAAACAAGGTGTACTCAAAAAGTGTATTAAAAAAAATACTGGTTTACAACTGGGGCACCCTTCGCACAGACGTGAAAAAGAGGGATGTGTTTGGGGAAGGGGGGATAGAGGATCCCAATAAAGCCACATTTGTCCTGCTCAAGATCAACCACTGGATGACAACCCTGCTTGTCAGCTGCTTTCTCTCTGTACTGTTAACATCTCTAAAAGCTTCAGGTGATAGCAATACTTGAGTGTCTAATGGAGGAATCCAAGTGGAGGTAGCCAGATAATAGTTGGGAAGTCAGGACTTAAAGGCACCAAAAAAGTGTCTTCAGCTCAGAGAAAGTTTTTTAAAAAATGATATGTAATAGGCATTAGTACACTGATCTTATGTTATGTGTACAGTGTAATAAATTTTTACATATGTACCCACGCATGTAACCACTACCCACATCAATAAGACATTTCTTCTGGGATACCCCCAGAAGGCTCCCTCATGACCATTCCCAACAGACACCCACCCACGCCAGAGGTAAGGTTACTCTGACTTTTCACCAAGCTTTAGTTCTACCCAGTCTTGACTTAGAAATAGAATCATACAGTAGGTACTCTTTTATGTCTGGCACACCATTACATCTACGAGAGTCAACACCCACTACTGCATCTGTCAGTTTCTGTTTTTTTAACTGATGTGTAGTATTCCATCCTGTGAAAAAAATTATAATGTGTCTCATTTTAATGTTTATGGCCATTGTGTTCTTAGTTTTTGGCTGTGGTGAATGAAATTGATGTGAATATTCTACTTCATGTCTTTTTGTGCATATATGCATGCTTTCTCTTAGGTATGGAATTGCTGGGTCACATAGTAGGCATGCTTACTTTTTAGTAAGTACTGACCATTTTGCAAAATGTTTTACCATTTTCAAATCCTACCAGTAAGTTCTCATTGACTACGTCCTTGCCATCTTACTTGGTACAGCTTTTTAATGTGAGCCATTATGACAGTTACATAAACTCAGTGTAGCATTTAATCTGCATCTTCCTGAAGACTAAAGCTCATCACCTTTTCATATTTTCATTGGATATCTGTATAGTGCCTGTTATTATAAAGTGGTTGTTCAAGTCCTTGTTCTTTTTTAAACTGTGGTGTCTTTCCTTGGATTTGTGGGAGTCCTTTATAGGAAATATATTTTACAAATATTACTCCCAGTTCATGGCTTGCCTTTTCACTCTCTCAATGTTGTCTTTTGGTGACTAGACATTGTTAACTTAAAGTCAGATTTATCCATCTTTTCTTTTATGGCTGGTACTTTCTGTGTCTAAGAAATTTTTGCCTATTTGTCATGACAAATATTTCCTTATCGTTTCTTCTGGTAACTTTTATGTTGAGATCTGCAATACTTAATGAATAAATGTTTGTGTATCATGTGAGGTAAGAGTTAAAGTTTTCTGACTGAGATGATTTACAATTTAATCCTGCATCCTTAAAAGAGTAATCACAATTATCCTTATGGTGGAACAGAAGAGGCAAAAGAAGTTGAAAGTAAAAAATAAAATGAGAAGTCAAATCTGTTTTGGTTTCCCAACGCAACCATTTTCTCTTTCAGAAACCAGGCCAGGATTCATGACCTCACATCTACCCTCCTTATGGCCATTTGCCTTGGGGAAAACATACCTGTGAACTCAGACTTAAAGCCTGGGGGAGGGGATCCTGCTGAGCTGGAGAACCTCTGGTAACCATGGGCATATGGAGGATACTCAGAATATGGTGGAGGAGAATCTTGACCATCACTAAGGAACAACTTATAAACTCCAAAGGCAACAGCAAGTAGCACCATGATGATAACCAGTCCACTCATGCCACTGGAATCTGGGGAGTGCAGCTTGTTATAATAATTGGAGAAAGAGCTAAAACCGTGGTGTTTTCCAGACTCTCTCAATTTCTTCAGGCCAATTTCTGTGTAATCTAAGTTATACTCCAAGCCACAGGAGCCTCTTAGTACATACGGGTCTTCAGAGGATTCATAGCCTTCACAGCTCACCACAGTTTTTCCAAATTTGTATGCAATATCTAAATCGGTCTTACATTCCCACTGTGAAAAAAAAGTAGAAATAACTTCTTACAACTGGAAGATTTTTTTTTCATTTAACATACACTATTTGAGCTATAGGGCTCTCATAAAACTGCAAAATGAAGTAAGCGAGTAGCAAACAAAATTCAGGACAATGAGTATTTCTGTGGGGGAGGGAGGGCAAACTAGGGGCTTCAAAAATATTGGTGATGTTAATATTCTACTTCTTAAGCTACTTCTTAAAATACTTCTTAAGCTGGGTGCATGAGTGTTCATTTATACATGTAAGGAATTGTTTTGAACATATTAAGTGTCCCATAATTTGTACACTTAAAGCAAATTGTTTAAATATCAACTTTCTACCACTGTTTTCAAGACGCTTTCTTTAAAAATAGAGGTTTTTAAAAATGTTAAGGCTAAAACGCAGCATCATATATGAAGATCTGGTAACTACATATAGCATCAGATACAGTATATAACCTTCTGCAAAAAACTTTTTATACCCAGGGTCCAATCCAATAAGTAATTCTCTTATATTAGAGAATATTTATAAAAATACTAGAAGAATTCATGCTAGCCTCAAAAATTTCCACCTTAAAAAAAGCCCAAGTTTAGCTTAAATTCTGTAACTGTATTTTGAGCTTAATAGCTAATACACTTCTTTAACAACATTTAAAGTTAAGACATGAGCTAAAATAGATGTGATTGGTTCTATTGCCTTTCTGTAAGGGACAAATTATCTTCCTCTCTCAAACTTCGGATATGCTGTTTTATATTTTTATAGTAGTTCTATTGAGATAGAAATTCACATATCATATATTCACCCATTTCAACCATTTTTAGTATTCAGAGTTGTGCAACCATCACCACCATCAATTTTAAAATATTCACATTACCCCAAAAAGAGATCTCAAATCCATTAGCAGTCATCATCTCCTATTCCACCCAAATCTCCCAGTCTTAGGCAACCACCAGTCTGTCTATGGTTTCCCCATTCTGGGTATTTCGTATAAATGGAATCATACAATATGTGGTCTTATGCAACTGGCTTCTTCCACTAAGCATGTTTTCAAGGTTCATGCATGTTGTAGCATGTATCAATTCTTCATCCCTTTATATAGCTGAATAATATTCCATTGTGTGGATCTATCACATTTTGGTTATTCAGTCATCAATGATGGACATTTGGGTTGTTTCTACTTTTTCAGCTATTATGACTAATGCTGTTATTACAATTACATATAGCTGGTAATTCAGTGTTAAACCTTTTGAGGAACTGCCAAACAGTTTTCCAAATTGTACCATTTCTTGAAGATTGGGATTCCTAACAGCAATGTATGAAAGTATCTCCACATCCTTACCAACATTTGTTATCATCCTCTTTTTTATTTTAGCCATCCTACTGGATGGGAATGGATGTCTTATCGTGGTTTTGACTTTATTTCCTTGATAGCTAATGATGCTGGACATTTTTCATGTGTGTATTGGTCATTTTTGTATCTTCTTTGGAGAAATGTCTAGTCAGACATTTTTTCCATTTTTTAATTTGGTTATTTACCTTCTTGTTGAGTTGTAATAGTCCTTTATATATTCTAGATACAAGTCCCCTATCAGATATGTGATTTGCAAAAGCTTTCTCCAAGAGGATTATCATCACTTTGATGGTGTCCTTTGAAATCCAAAAATTTTAATTTGGATAATACACAGTTTTGCTATTTTGTTGTTATTGCTACACTATTTTCTATTTTTTAATTATTTATTTGGAGGAAGATTTAAGCTTGCTGATTAATGTATATAAAACAAGATAAATCCTTATAGGTATTTCAAGTTAATTATCAATTCCTTAGTCAAATACATTAAAAGTAGCTTCTAATTATTATATTTAAGCTCTTGGAATTGGAAGAGGCTCTCTCCTGCTATTAAACATAAGTCCATATATAGTATCTACTATACTTCTTTGCTCATGCTATTCCCTTCTCTCTTCAGCTCTAAAAATCTTATCCTTGCTTCCTAACATAGTATGTTCCTTCTTCTTTAAGTCTCCCCATGCTCCCTCAACTGGACATGACTTTATAACACTTTGCTGGCACCTACATGTAATTTGAAGGCTTGTCTTATCTCTTCTACTGGGAAGAGAGTTTCTTGAAGATTGGGACTCCATCTTAATTCATTTGTGTATACTATAAATCTAATATATGTTTAATGAATGACTTCACCATTAATCTTTTTTTCCACCAAAACTGTAGAAGTCATTTAAAAGTAAAATGGGAGTGGGACTTCTGCTTTCACCCGGTGAGACAATACTGAGGGAAAATGTGAAATAACTATCACCCAGTAGCTCTGAACTCTCTCTCTTGCATAGACCATGCACAGAGGTTTATGAAATAATATTCTGATAGAAGGAGAAATCATCAACACAACTTCCTTGCCTAATGACCAGCCATCTGAAATCCTTTTTTGAAAGCAGGTAGAATACAAAGTAGAAATATATTAGTAGTGATTTAAACTGAATTCACTTAATAAAATCTATTCCATTTCTAAAGCATATTAAATTCTGGAAGTTGAAGGAAATGTCATTCCTTAAGTACAAAACACTAGGGTCCTGAAGTCAATAAATAAAGCCCACTGAAATACTTTTATTATGTACCCCAATGTTAATAATCTACAATTTTATTGGTCTTCTTAACAATACTTCTTAAGAGCAGGTTGATATTCTTGAATGAGAGGAAAGTGACAAACAGAAGAGATTCCCTACCCCCAAGCTCCCAGTATATAAAGCGTTGAAAATTTACTAATGTCTTATAAGAAGTTATGGTACAAAAGTTACTTTGAGTATTTCCAGAAATATTCTAAAACCAGCTCATTTCTTTTGGAGGATGGACTTGGAAATGAATGACTGACTTCTATTTGTAAATTACAGGTTAACCTGACATTTGTCATACGTGCTTCCAAAAATATGACTGTCCCAATACACACGGTACTGAATAAAAATGCCAGTTAGACTGCCATTAGTGTAATGAATATTACCTGTACATCATAACCATCCCAGCCTTTATTCTGACATTGTACGACGCTGGGGGTGTAAGAATCACATCCCGCTGTGCCTCCAACGCATTTCAACTGTGGGACTGGATGCAGCCTGCGGGAGGTGGTATAGCGGTCATGGTGGAGGGTGAAAGCTTTTACATCCCGCAACAGTATTCTGTCTGAAATAGTAAGGACACAGATGAGTACACAGAAAGATTGATCCTAATAAAACTTCTGCCATAGGAAATACTTGCAAAAGTGTCTTTATCCCCCTCTGAGAGAAAGAGAATATGAAATAGTTTTCCAAAGCTGTTGCACAAAATTCAGATGGCTACACCTTTACAGCTACCTTTCATGGCAGGTTGCAGGCCTCCCTAACTGCTTCTGGCTCACAAGTTCTACATAATTTTTGCAAAATCAGAACAAAAGTTCATTAACCTGAAACCCTGTACTATTCAATGACAACATCAATGGTTAATTAAAATGGCAAAAAAATATACACAAATGTTCCTGAAGCACATTTAATGACTTAAATGTCTGTCAATACATGAATGGATTAATTTGTCCTATTCATACAGGGGGAGATATATATATATGTATATTCTACAGGAGTTAAAATGAGTGAACTAGAACTCAGGTATCAGACTAGAGATAGTAAAAAGATTTTAAGTAAAATACAATTTGAAGAATATTATGGTAACTTCACATAAATCTTGAAAACCACTAAAATAATACTACATATTTTAATGTATACAAGAATACTATGAAAACGATTAAGAGAATGATTAAATACCAAATTCAAATGAGTATCTCTGAGGAGAGAAGAGACTTTAGCTCTATCCCTAATGTTTTCTTACTTGGCGGGGGCAGGGGACTTGCTGCAAGTATGGTAAAATATAGATTCAATAAAACTGGGAAGTGAGTATATGGGTGTTCATTGTGTACTTCTGTATTTAAGTATTTAAAATATTTCACAATTTAAAAAATTAAAGATATTTAAACTATTTCAAAAATGAAAAATCACATTGATGAGGAAGTTTAAAAACAAGTCAAAACAAGGACACTACATCTGGTATTTATACATGCACTTTAAAGTGTTACTGGAAAATGAATAGTTTCCCTATTTCTCACCCTTGGACTATAGTGGGAGATACTGTGGACTGGTTCACTCAACATCCATATCACCCTCCAACTGGTGTGCATTCTTGCAGTGTTAAAAGAATCCCAACACCTCTTGCATCTATAGTTCCCAAACTTATCAATCTCTAACCAAGATGCAATAAAACTAGAACTATAACAACATAAAATAATGTAATAATGTATGAAACAATAATAAGATGACTGAAACCCAGTAACAAAGAAAGGAAATTTAGGCTACAAATATTAAAACATATAACTAAATCTATAAGAGTATAAACAGTTTAGTATTGGCATAGGATTAGAAAAATTGATCATTATGTATACCATGCACAAAAATTAACCTGTGATGGCTAAAAAATTACATAAGATTTACAATAAATTAAAAATACTGGAAGAAAGCACAACAGAAATATATTTATGATCTGGTATGGGAAATGTCTTAAGACATCAAAAGCAAAAGACTATCCAGCAAGATAATGACTATGGTTGATCAAATCTACGGAAATCCAAGAATCCACAATAATGCTCAAAGAGAAAGCCAAGAACTCATTTGTCACTAAAGTGGCTACAAATTACCTTACTTTGAAAATTGGCAATTAAAGATTCAAGGTTAAATGTGTATTCTGACTTGCCAGCAGCAACTATATAATCTAAAACAGCCTCAGTTGATAAGGGAATTCTCAACTTTACTGAAGAATGCCAGCTAATAAGTGTAGAAGAAATGACAGCTAAAAAAACCATCATTTTAAAACCCCTTCAGCAAGGCAAGAACATAAAGAAAAGGACTGTTCTACATTTAAAAAGACTTAAGAGATACTACAATCAGATGCAATTTGAACAAACTTGTTTATACATTTTAGGGACAGTTGTAATATCTGACTATGAAGTGGGTAATTATTTGATATTAAGAAATTAGAATCAATTTTTGTTAGATGTAATGTTATTTTTACCCTGTGGGGAAAAGTTCTTTTTTTAAAAAAAGGGGGTGCAGAGGAATACTGAAGGATTTAGTGGTGGCCTGTCATGATACGGTAATTTACATTAAAATATTTCAACATTAAAAAGAGGGCTGAAAGAAAACAAAGAAAAAAAGACTGAAAGCTTTCCATCAATATTTAAAGTACCTTCCCCAGAATCCCTCCAACAGACTGACTAAAATGACTTATCATCAAGGGATTCTAGTAAAATGAATTTTGGCTTTTCCAGTATTTACATGGAAGTAGACACAGAAGGTAGAGAATAACTATAGCATCTGTCACACTTGGTATAAACAGTAGAAGAAAAAACATTTTATTTAGAGTTTCTGGACCTACATCATCCAAAAGAACTTCCCAAAAGACAACCCTATTATAATGAGAGAATTTGGTAAAACAGCTGGGTAATTTATCAATTACCAAAAGTCGACAAGCCTTTTCTATGCCTATAATATCCAATTAGAAATGAAAATGGAAAGCCTATCTCGAATTAGTGACAAACTACAAATATACATAGAGTATCCTGAAATAAATTCAAGGTCAATATGCTATCCATATAAGAAAAAATATACACATATAAAAGGACCTAAATAAGCTGAATGCACTTCCGACCAGGAACCCAGTTGGTTTTCTTTGGAACTGGAAAGAATTACTTTAAAGGTCCTATGGAAAAAATTAATGTCTATAAATAGCCACAAATTTTTTGAGAAATGCTTTACCAGAAAATAAAACTTAATATAAAATGCCTATAATCAAAATAGTATGGAATTACAACAGAAATAGACAAGGAATTGTAGAACAAGTCTAGAAATAAATCCAAATATATATAGTAATCAAATACAATATAAAGTAAGCTTTTTACCTTAGTGGGAAAAGTACACCTTCTTTAATAAATGACACTGTCATAAATGACTACAGCAATAGAAGAAAATCTGCCTAAAGCTATATAAAAAGTTAATTCTACATGGGCTAAAGATTAAAAATTTTCAAGAACTTTATTAAAATAAAATATGCTATATATGAAACCCAAACTATGACCTCATACATACAAAAACTGTAACAATGAAAATGTTCAATGGTTTAAAAAGTTGGAAGGTATTATTCAGCTAAATAACAAATTTACTGAAGCAGGACTGAGATAACACAAAGAATCCTGAACTGAATTCCCATCACTAACTTGCTCTATGTATGACTTTCGCCAACTTACTTACCTATATAGAAGTTTCTTCATCTGTAAAATTAAGATAATATTAAACCTATAATTGGTTGTGAAGTTTAGATATGATTTCCTAAGATTATCTAGTAGAGTACTTGACATATATTAGGTGATTGAGTACAATAAATATTTCTGAAAATGTGTAGGAGCTATAACCACTTAGGGTGTCATTATGTTAACCCTACAGCATCTCTGTTCCCTAGAGGTCCTAAAGGTCACTATGTTTTGTGTCCTGCAAAATTCCTGTTTTGAAGCCCTAATCCCCAAACGATAGGATTTGGAGGCAGGCCTTTGGGAAGCGATTAGTTTTGGATGAGGTCTTGAGGATGGAGTCCCCATGATGGGATCAATGCTCTTATAAGAAGAGGAAGAGACCAGAGCCCTTTCTCTGTCATGTGAGAACAAAAGAAGACAGCCATCTGCAAACCAGGAAGTGGGCTCTCACCAGACACCAAATATGCTGGCAGCCTAACCTTGGACTTTCCAGCCTCCAGAATGTGAGACATAGAAGACACTCAGTCTAGGGTATTTTGTCATAGCAGCCTGTACTAAAACAAGGACTAAACAAAATGCTCCTATCCACACTCAACCAATTACAACAGTCAAAGGTCACACGGAGTCCAGACTCATAAATCAAATCCACTTGCAAGTCTCAAACTTAAGGTAAACAAAACCCAGCTCCCCAAACCTGATTCTTCCATAGTCTGCCACATCTCAGGAAATGGTAACTCCAAACTTAGGCCAAAAACCTTAGAGTCATCTTTGTCTTCTCTCCTTCTCTTAAGCCTACACTTAATTCACCAGAATATCATGTCAGCTCCTTAAAAATAGGTGAGTCCAGCCACTCTCCCCAGTATGACTGCTTCTCCCCTTGCCCAAACCGTAACCACTCTTGGAATTTATGTACAGCCTCTTTACTGACCTCCCAGTTTCCTCCAGCCCCCCTACTGTCTGTTTTCCACAGAGTGGACAGAATGGGCCTTTAAAATACAAATCGTAGCAGGTCATTTAAGCCTCCTCTCCCTTCAGGTTTCTGATCAAATGTCACCTTAACAGTGACTTCTTCCCTGATCAATGTATATTTTGAAAGTCTCCACTTCCTCCAGCACACCCTGGCCTCCTATCACTGTTTTACTGTTGTCCACACCAGTTTTCATGATATAACAAGCTATTTACCTGTTCTGTTTATTATCTATTTCTCCACAAGAGATTAAAACGCCTTGGGGGTAAGATGCTCTGTTTTGTTCACTGCTATACTGCCAAAACCCAAAGGAGTGACTTAAATATGAAGTAATTCAATAAAGAATTTTGAAAAATCTTAGGTAAATCTCTTTAGTACTGGTACAATTTTTTTCCAAATTATTGCCTTATGTTAGCTGTCGCCAATGTTAAGTTCATCCAATGTCAAACAAAAGACAGATTAAGGAGTGTCTATTGCTTTACCAAAGAACTTGATAAAAGTTAACCCAATAAAATACCTTCATAAAACAGTACCTTGAAGTAAATTTAAGGTAAAATAGAATTTATAAAAATCAATTGCATTTACTCTGCAAAATATTTTGGTGTTTTATTCCAGAACAGTTTGTTATAGAGTAGGTAGACTTAAGAGCTACCAGGAAGCAGTTCACTGTTTGGTTCCTTTTTTCTTTTAATTCCCCTGACTCTTGATCCATAAACTTCCTTTTTTTTATTTGAGAATTGACTGAGGGTTCAACTAATTAATGTTTCACTCCAATTTTTAAATTAAAATTCTGATCAAAGTCTCCTATTTACATACAACTTTCTAGGAATACATAAGTAAAATGTATTTTTACATTTAAATATAACTTGGCTTTTTATTTACTAGTAATAAAACATCCAACTTGGCCTTTTATTTATTAGTAATAAAACATCCATGTGAAATGGGTTACTCAAAGTCAAGTACTTGCAAACAGCATCTTCTCTCTCATTTGAGCACTTAGGAATAAAATACAAAATTAGAGAAATAAATCTGTTGCTTAAGATCAAAAACAGAGGCATTTCCTATCATTTCCTATCACCAACTCACAAGGTACACTTTTAATGCCTCAAAATCTTTACTCCCCAAACCAAAACTGAAGTTTTAATTGTTGAAAAGTCATTTCTTACATAATTCCAATTTAACACCGTGCCTCATTTATTAAATGGGAATCTATATGTATATGTATGTGTGTATAGAGATGTACATATTTAAGCTACATAGAATATTATTGATCTCATAAATTCTTTAGACAATGCTAGTAACAGTGACACAAAAGAATCTTTTCCCTAGAAATCACTTATCATGTACCACCACAAAAAAAGATGAAAATATTTTTTAAATTCTAATGTAGAGTAGATGTACCGATAATCTATAGATACATGAAAAGATGCTCAATGTCAGGAAATGCAAATCAAAAGCACAATGAGAGAGCACTTCATTCCCATTAGAATGGCTAGAATAAAAAAGGTAAGAAATCACAAACGAAGGTGCGAATGCAAAGAAAAGGGAACCGCCTATGTACTGTTGAGGGAATATAAATCGGTGCGGCCACTATGGAAAATATTTTGGAGGTTTTTCCTCAAAAATGAAAAACAGAACTACCATACAATCCAGCAATTCCACTTCTGGGTATTTACTCAAAATGAAAACACTAATTCAAAAACATCTATGCACTTCTATGCTTACTGCAGCATTATTTACAATAGCCAAGATATGAAAACTACCTAAGTGTCCAATGATAGATGAATGAATAAAGAAGATGTGGTGTATATATATATATATACATATATATATGTGATGAAATATTATTCCTGCGATTAAAAAAAATGAAATCTTGCCATTTGTGACAACTTGGATGAACCTGGAGGGTAAGTCAGAGAAAGACAAATACCATATGATTTCACTTATATGTGGCATCTAAAAAACAAAACAAAACAAAACAGAAACAGACTCATAAATACAAAGAACTGGAGATTGCCAGAGGGGAGGGTTTAGGGAGATTGATAAAATAGGTGAAGGGGATCAAGAGGCACAAGCTTCCAGTTTTAAAATAAATAAGTCACGGTATGTAAAGTACAGCATAGGGAATACAGTCAACAATGCTGTAATAACTTCGCATGGCGACAGATGGTAACCACTTACTGTCGTGAGCATTTTGTATATAAATGTATATTAATGTCCTATGTAGTACACCTGAAACTAATAATGTATGTCAAGTATATGTCAATTTAAAAAAAAATTTTTTATTTTACTGTTCGGTGAAAAACAATGGGAAAAGCTGACATATGGCAATGTACTTCACTGTGAAGGTCAGAATACGAAGCATGCGTCTTGCTCACATAAATAGTATAGTCTATGATTTGCATAACCTGCCTACAAGGTTAGCAGCCCTATCAACTGTGCCTCAGAGACTGCCGGTGCCATGGCAACTTCCAGCCATAGCAACAGGCATTCGTGACAATAGTCAGCGACGATGAAATCAGAGAGTCATGACAACAAAGCAAGATGCCCAGGTGAGGGTCGAGCTTTCGAAACGGTCAAACTCAGGGATGAAGGCCGTAGCCCAAGAAAGCAGAAGGTGGACAGATTTTGGGAGTCTAGAGAATGGAGAAAAGGGACGTTAAGAAGAGGGGTCGTCCCGCCCACTCCCCGACAGGGCCCACTCGTCCCGTAAGACGTCTGGGAAGATCAGAGAAGCAGGCAAGGGCGCAGAGGCATAGGGAAGAGAATGGAAATGAGAAATTAGGGTAGAGGGGCTCAAGGGACAGCGAACGGAAATGGTCGCCCGCCGGGCTGCAGGCGGCCGGAAGAGGCTGATGAGCACGGTACTTACCAGGGTCGCTCCAGCCCAGGGCAGGGCCCACGACCAGCAGAAGCAGTAGGCTGGGCATAGAGCAGCGTCCAGCCGCTTTCCGCCCGCGGGCCGCGGCCATCGCGCTGGGTGAAGATGCCATGCAGCTGCCAGGCGCTCGCAGGCCGGAACACAGACTGCAGAAGTCTGCAGGCAGACCGCAGGCAGCCGGCACCACCGGCAGCGGATGGGGTTCGTCGGCGAGCCGCTGCCGCAGCGAAGGTCGGGGCGCCGACCTCACGTCACTGCCGCTGCGGTGCCTGTAGGAACAGAAGTGGGCGCTGCGGGCGGAGCCCCAGGGGCGAGGCGCCGCCGTCGAGGGAGGAGCCAAGGGCGGATGCAATGATGTGGGCGGGGCCGAGGGCAGAACCCCGCCCTGCTGCCTCTGGCGCGGGGCTCGTTAAATTGCAACGCAAAATTGCAGCGGTTGGGGAGATTGACACCGTCGCAGAGCGAAATCGAAGTGTAGTCAAGTACTGCATTTCCAGAACCTCAGTAACCCACGCGAGGGAAATTACTGTGCCTAATTCAGCTTTATGTCTTCAGCACTTAGCATAGCTTCTGGTACATGATTCATGTTCTATTACTGTTTGCTAAATCCAGACATTATCGCGAAAGGCAGTATGGAAATGTACTATCCGGTTTCAGAAGCTCAGTCTTTACGTATTTCCTTATAAGTAGAAGAAGTAAGAAGTTACAAAATATCTGAAGGAGAAACTACTACCTAAGTGAAGAACCAGTCAGAGGAAACAGTTCTAACAGTGCACCGGCATTCTTTGAGGTCTGCCAGGCCTGATTTTTCTCATTCATTAATTTATTCAACAAATATAGGTTGAATGCTTAATATGTGGCTGTTTTCGGCATGGAGGACACAGACAAGGTCCCTGTGCCAGCAGAGCTTACGTAGAAGTGGAATGGTACAAACAACATCAAATAATAAATTAATCAACTGATAATAGGTAATTATGAAATTAATGATGAAAATAAAACAAGGTGATACAACAGAGTCTGGAGGCAACTTCAGGGAGGGCCTTGCTGAGGAAGTGCTTTGAAGAGTGAAGCCTGAATGATGAGAAAGAGCCAGCCAAGCAGAGATCACCGGAAGAGCGTTCACAGCTTGGGGAAAATGGACACAAAAGCCCTAGCTTTGTTTTTTTATGAAAAGTCATTCATTAATTCAACCAATACCTTCATACACTGAGCACCCACCAGTATATAACAGTACCTACCAGGCACTGTTCTAGGCACTGGGGACACAGTAATGAAAAAATAAAATTCAGAGAGTGGGAAAGGCAAACATGACCAGAATAACTGAAGCAAAGTCAATTAGGGGAAGATGGAACAAGAGGAGGCAGAACAGTGGGGACTTGGAGTGGGGCTGAGCAGGACTGTAATAAAGGTATTAAAGAATTCTCTTCTCAACATGTTAAGTTTGAGATGACAATGAAGCATCCAGGGAGACATGTCAAATGACACTTGAATATGCAAAAAAGATAAATGTGGTAGTTACATTATCAAAATGAAGATGGTCCAGGAATTCCACTCCTAAGAATTTACCCTAAGAATGCAGTTTCCCAGTTTGAAAAAGACTTATGCACCCCTATGTTTATCGCAGCACTATTTACCATAGCCAAGAAATGGAAGCAACCTAAGTGTCCATCAGTAGATGAATGGATAAAGAAGATGTGGTACATATACGCAATGGAGTATTATTCAGCCATAAGAAGAAAACAAATCCTACCATTTGCAACAACATGGATGGAGCTAGAGGGTATTATGCTCAGTGAAATAAGTCAGACAGAGAAAGACAAGTATCAGATGATTTCACTCAACTGTGGAGCATAAGAACAAAGCAAAAACTGAAGGAACAAAACAGCGGCAGACTCACAGAACCCAAGAATGAACTAACAGATGCCAAATGGAAAGGGACTTGGGGAGTGGGGTGGGTGGGAAGGGAAGGAGAAGGGGAATAAGGGGCATTACGATTAGCACACATAATGTAAGGGGCGGCACGAGGAAAGCAGTATAGCATAGAGGAGACAAGTGTGACTCTGTAGTATCTTACTACACTGATGGACAGTGACTGTAATGGGGTATGTGGTGGGGACTTGATAATGGGGGGAATCTAGTAACCACAATGTTGTTCATATAATTGTATATTAATGATACCAAAATTAAAAAAAATGAGGATGGTATTTAACACTACAGGAAGAGGTACAATGCATATGGAGAGAATTAAGATAATGGCAAAGAAGGAGACCTAGGGCCTAACTAAAAGAACAGCACTATTATTTGAACCTTGAGCAGAAGATCCTCAAAAGAGTGAAAAGTAACCTCTGATGAGGTACTGGAAAATCCAGGAGAATAGTGATATGGTAGTTGAGAGAAACAATGATCAACAGTGTCCACTGCTGAAAGGTTGAATCAAAAAGTGACCTTTGGATTTTGCAGTGTAGACACAACTAAGTACCTTAACAAGAGAACTTCTGTTGAGATCCCATTTGCCAAGTATAGTTCTAGACAGTGGTGAACAAAATGAAAAAGGTGGTACTAGCTAATGTTTAGTGGGAGCGACAGTCAACAAATATAATTCAGATAAATAATAAGTATCTGTAAGGAAAAAAGCAGACTGATATGTAGTGGTGTTACAAATAGTATATTTAGGAAAGGTTCTGAGAAGTACCATTTGAGCTGAGATCAATGATGATAGATGATTTGATAAGAGACAGATGGTAAGAGACAGTTTCTTAAAACAGCACTGACACATCAATAGCAATGTATGAACTTCATTTGGATCCTGATTCAAACAAGGTATAAAATAAATGACATTAATGAGACAATTGGAAATGTGAACACTGACTAGATATATAATGATATTAAAGAATTATATTTTAGGTGTGATAAATGTAGTATGGTTATGTTATTTTTAAGAGTCCCTTTAGAAACATACTAAGATATTAAAGATGAAATCATATCTGGAATTTTCTTCAAGATAATATGGAGAAAAATAATATGGGAGGTGGGGTAACTGGATGGATAGTACAGACAAAACAACATTGACTATGTGTTACTTGTTGAAAGTACCTAGCTGATGGTACATGGGAGTTCACTTTATTATTCTACTTTTTTTCTCTCATTTTTTTCTACTTTGTTTTATTTTTTAGATTAAGAAAATGAAAGAAATTATTAAGCAAATGGAAAATGTGAACAATTGGTGAATCTGGTAAAGAGGAAATAAGAGTTCTTTGTTTGGTTTTTTTTTTTGGTGGTTCCCCATCACTTTTTTTTTATATCATTTATGTACAATTACATGAACAACATTATGGTTACAAGACTCCCCCTATTATCAAGTCCCCATCACATACCGCATTACAGCCACTGTCCATCAGCGTAGTAAGATGCTATAGAATCATTACTTGTCTTCTCTGTATATACTTTCTTTTCCATGCCCCCCCACCACTACATTATGTGTGCTAACCGTAATGCCCCTAATTCCCCCTTACCCCTCCCTCCCTTCCCACCCATCCTCCCCAGTCCCTTTCCCTTTGGTAACTTTTAGTCCATTCTTGGGTTCTGTGAGTCTGCTGCTGTTTTGTTCCATCAGTTTTTGCTTTGTTTTTATACTCCACAGATGAGTGAAATCATTTGATACTTGTCTTTCTCCGCCTGGCTTATTTCACTGAGCATAATATCCTCTAGCTCTATCCATGTTGTTACAAATGGTAGGATTGTTTTTCTTCTTATGGCTGAATAATATTCCATTGTGTATATGTACCACATCTTCTTTATCCATTCATTTACTGATGGACACTTAAGTTGCTTCCATTTCTTAGCTATTGTAAAGAGTGCTGCAATAAACATGGGGGTGCATAATTCTTTTTCAAACTGGAAAAATGCATTCTTAGGGTAAATTCCTAGGAGTGGAATTCCTGGGTCAAACAGTATTTCTATTTTTAGATTTTTGAGGAATCTCAATACTCCTTTCCACAAAGGTTGAACTAGTTTACATTCCCAACAGCAATGTAGGAGGGTTCCTCTTTCTGCACATCCTTGCCAATATTTGCTGTTGTCTGTGTTTTGGATAGTGGCCATCCTTACTGGTGTGAGGTGATATCTCATTGTGGTTTTAATTTGCATTTCTCTGATGGTTAGAGATGTGGAGCATCTTTTCATGTGCCTGTTGGCCATCTGAATTTCTTCTTTGGAGAAGTGTCTGTTCAGCTCCTCTACCCATTTTTTAATTGGCTTACTTGCTTTTTGTTTGTTGAGGTGCGTGAGCTCTTCATATAATTTGGATATCAACCCCTTATCAGACATGTCATATATGAATATATTCTCCCATACTGTAGGATGTCTTTTTGTTCTACTGATGGTGTCCTTTGCTGTACAGAAGCTTTTTAGTTTGATATAGTCCCACTTGTTCATTTATGCTTTTGTTTCCCTTGCCTGGGGAGTTATGTTCATGAAGAAGTTGCTCATGTTTATGTCCAAGAGATTTTTGCCTATATTTTTTCTAAGAGTTTTATGGTTTCATGACTTATGTTCAGGTCTTTGATCCATTTTGAGTTTACTTCTGTGTATGGGGTTACACAATAATCCAGTTTCATTCTCTTACATGCAGCTGTCCAGTTGAAGAGGCTGTCATTTCCCCATTGTATATCCATAGCTCCTTTATCATATATTAATTGACCATATATGCTTGGGTTTATATTTGGGCTCTCTATTCTGTTCCACTGGTCTGTGGGTCTGTTCTTGTGCCAGTACCAAATTGTCTTGATTACTGTGGCTTTGTAGTAGAGCTTGAAGTCAGGGAGTGTAATTCCCCCACTTTATTTTTCCTTCACAGGAATGTTTTGGCTATTTGGGGTCTTTTGTCGTTTCATATGAATTTTGGAACTATTTGCTCTAGTTCATTGAAGAATGCTGTAGGTATTTTGATAGGGATTGCATTGAATCTGTACATTGCTTTAAGCAGGATGGCCATTTTAATGATATTAATTCTTCCTAGCCAAGAGCATGAAATGAATTTCCATTTATTAGTATCCTCTTTAATTTCTCTTAAGAGTGTCTTGTAGTTTTCAGGGTATAGGTCTTTCACTTCTTTGGTTAGGTTTATTCCTAGGTATTTTATTCTTTTTGATGTAATTATGAATGGAATTGTTTTCCTGGTTTCTCTTTCTGCTAGTTCACTGTTAGTGTATAGGAATGCAACAGATTTTTGCGTATTAATTTTGTATGGTGCAACTTTGTTGAATTCAGATATTAGATCTAGTAGTTTTGGAGT